CCCCCAGCGTATCCTGGTTTTCAAGTACCCCAGCAGGGATAGGGTTAAAAGTAAAATAAGTTACAAAAAGTAAAAAAGTGGAAAAAGTTAAAGAAGTTGAAAAAATAACAAAAGTTTAAAAAGTAAAATATAATTTAAAAAGTAAACAAATTTTTTAAATAAAAGAAGTTAAAAAAGTAACAAGAGGTCTTTTAAAAGTAACATTGAATTGACCCAGAGCAACACAAGTTTTTAAGTCGTTTTTTGAGTTTTAAGACAAATAAAAAACCATTAAAAAACAAAAAAGTAAATCCAATCTTGTTAAGTAAATTTTATTTAAAATATCTTCACATTTGATTAAAAATATCTTCACTTAATGGAGGATTTGATTAAAAATATCTTCACTTAATGGAAGGTTTGATTAAAAACAGAAAAACATATTTGCTCCAGAATCTGAAATTCTAGAGACGTGTTTTTCTTCCTGATTCGACAATAAGGGTCTTCTTGTTATGATTGGTAGGGTTCGATAGACAGATAGATAGAAATATAGATAGATAGATAGATAGATAGATAGATAGATAGATAGATAGATAGATTGATAGATAGATAGATAGATAGATAGATAGATAAATAGATGAATAGATAAATAGATAGATAGATAGATATATTGATATATAGATAGATAGATATTGTGTATGTGTGTTATACAACTCTATTAGTGTGTATATTCACTAACAGAAAGAATTTTAAAACTTTAAAATGTCAAACCCAATCAACTGCTTTCTATCTGTCTATCTATCTATCTATCAGGACATCTATATATTTATCTATTTATCTATCCATCTATCTGTATATTTACCATGTATCTATCTATCTTTCAATGTGAATCTGGAAGTTAAAGTAATGGAAGAAAAATCTATCTTAATCATGAACACACTTGTCAATTAACAAAAATATTTCTTTTGAATTGAAGGCTATGAATAATGTGTTTTTTTACTTAAAATTTTTTTAAAAATATTGTTTATCTTTTATGTCTGAAATCGATATCCACAGTGGTAACTTTCAATTTAAAATGATTTCAAGTTGTGACCTCTGTACTAAAATGTTTGTACATACCTGCATGTACCCTGTGTACTCTCTGACCCTATCCTCGAGATTTCGAGATTTTTTCCCAGATTTTTGGTTTGTTAGCTGGCTAGGTGTACACTCGCTTCCCTCGCTTTTCTCATAGTACAGCTCAGAACTGTCGTACTCCATAGTGGTACAAATCTACATAAAAACCACAATTAAAATTTTGTTTATAGAAATAGGTTTGTGTTAGTAATTTGAAGAGACTGTAAAGGAAAAATGAAAGGGTGTATAGGCTGGAACCTGAGAATTTCAGGAGTTAATTGAGACCCATAAGACCTGATGTTCCTGTTTTGAGAACTTGACATAAAACTGTGTCAAAATTATACCAAAACGTATATATCTAAGATATACCCCCGTGTCACGTGACCAGAACTCCTTCCAATAGCAATGCAGTAAACTGGTCACGTGATACAGACAGAGACAAGTGACAATAATACTGCACTGCCATTGGTTGGGGTTCTGGTGACATGATCCGGATGTGTAAATAATATTATTAATTATATCTATTAAAAAGGAACAATTATTAAATTCAAATAATAATAGGAGCAAACCTGAGTTTCTCAGGCTCCTGTGGGATATCGTTGTTTTCAGATTGGTTTCGTTACGCGTATTTGTTGAATATGATCTGTTAAATACTACGAATTTTATACAAAATCTTACATATATACTTTTTGACACAGTTTTTATATCAATTTCTCGAGACAGGAACATCAGATATAACTTTCATGGGTCTCAATAAACTCCTGAGATTTTCAGGTTTCAGCCTAATAAACCCCCTTTCATGTTTCCTTTACAGTTCCTTTAAAAAAACACATTTTAATTTTAAGATGTCTAAAGATACCCAAATTCGCAAAAACTTTTTTTGTACATCTTTTTCCGCCTTATTATCCGATATTTATTTTTATATGGCATTTGAAATTAGTATATATACTATAAATGTGACAATACTATACTATAAATGTGACAATACTATTCGATATTTTACAAACGTTGAATTGAGATATAAACACATCTTTAAATTAAAAACTAAAAAAAATCTGTTAAGCAATTGACTTCTGCAATTTGCATTTTATTCCAATTTCAAACATTAATTCGAAATGTTAATACAACACTCCGCGGTTTCCATTTGATTAAAGCATTCAGATATAGCAAAACATGCTAAACACACTAATGTAGATTTGCAATGTATTTCAAGGGTTTTAATTCAAAGATTATGACAGAGATTCAGAGCAGTATTATTATATTTTTGTCAAAGACAATTTTGTTATCTTTGTTTCTCTGTCAGAAAATTTGCCGCTTTTAAGGAAGTATTTTGTAGATTTGGTTCACAGATATAAGGTCAAACGACTTAGGGTCAAACTACATAAGGCCAAACGACCTAGGGTCAAACTACATTAGATCAAACGATCTTAGGTCAAACTACCTAGGGTCAAACGACTTAGGGTCAAACGACTTAAGGTCAAATGACATAGGGTCAAACTACCTAGGGTCAAACGACATAGAGTCAAACGACTTAAGGTCAAATGACCAAGGTTCAAACGACATAAGGTCAAACGACTTAGGGTCAAACGAAATAAGGTCAAATGACCCAGGGTCAAACGACTTAGGGCCAACGACAAGCGGTCAAAAACGCAACGAAAGGTAAAACGACAAAGGGTCAAAATGGACAAAAAAATATTTTATGTTTGATTTTAGGGTTAGGCAAGGTTAAGGCAATATATGGGCCGAGCGCTACGGCTAGGACAGGATAGGGGGCCGAGCGCTGCGGCTACTAGTTGTAATGAACATAAAAGTAGTTTAGATTAACCAAAAATAATCTAATTAAAATTTTCCCTGTTTGTCGCACTTTTTGACCCTATGTATTTTTATCCAATGTCGTTTAACCATATGGGATTTGACCCTAGGGTCGTTTGAGATTATTAAAATGTTGTAACAAAACATAAATCATAAAAAAATTACACTAATAATAAAGACACATTAAAATGGGAAAACCGTAGGATAAATTAATTTATGTAATAAACAGATTGATAAAATTCTAATTTACATTATAACAATAATTACCCCTGTATTTAATCTACATTTTATCTTCAGTTCAATCTAATTCTCCGCATTTCATTCCGTTTCAATTCCAAACCAAACCTGAAATACAAAATGGCGGATATAAACACGGTGATTTTGCTTGAAATTAACAAAAGAATCAAAATTGTGATCATTAAAGAGACTGTAAACGTATTTTCAGTCAATTCTCAATCTAAAATATTATTAATGCATTGTTGAATTACAATAAACAATGATAATTTTTTCCTAATTGATATGATTAGATAAAGGTTTCAATGATACCGCGCGTTGTGAATCGGACAATCCAGTTTAGAAATAAAGGCTCACTTTAAATTACGTTTTAAGCCAGGTGGCTTGAAATTACACAAGGAAACTTAAACAATAGAAGAAAAATAGCCATCATTATTCATTAAAGAAGCATGAAAAGTAATGAAAACTAATGAAAACTAATGAAAAAAATTAATATTCACGATTCAAAGAACAAAAGAAAAATATCAAATGCAAATAAACCAATTCAATAGATAAAGACAATTTAGACGTATTGACAGATAAACAGATTAAAAGATAGACAGATAGACGTATTGACAGATATACAGATAAACAGATAGACAGAAAGACAGATAGATAGATAGACAGATAGACAAATAGACAGATAGACAAATAGACAGATAGACAGATAGACAGATAGACAGATAGACAGATAGACAGATAGGCAGATAGACAGATAGACAGATAGACAGACATAGACAGATAGACAAATAGACAGATAGACAGATAGACAGATAGACAGATAAACAGATAGACAGATAGACAGATAGACAGATAGGCAGATAGACAGATAGACAGATAGACAGACAGACAGATAGACAGATTGACAGATAGACAGATAGAAAGATAGACGGAAAGACAGATAAACAGGTAGACAAATAGACAAATAGACAGAAAGATAAATGGACGGATAGAAAGATAGAAAGACAGCTAGATATACAGAATACAGATAGGTTCAAAGTACAAAAAGACCAATGTTAAATGCAAATCAAACGAATTTAATAGATAACAGATAGATAAACAGATAGATAGATAGACAATAAAGCAATTAAACAGACATCTAGGCCACCCGCAGACCTTGTTTTGCTTGATACATTCAACATGCTTAACTCAGGCAGTTCAATTCAGCCCAAATAGACAGATAAATAGTTGAAGGGAGGTTAATTTAGAAACATGGCAAAAAGTCAAAAGAAGTAAGTTGGATATATATAGAGGCAGTTTAATTAAACAATACTTAATTAATACATATATATATATATAAAGATAGATAGATATGATAGATAGATATATATGAAGATGATAGATAGATAGATATAGATAAATAGATAGATAGATAGATAGATAGATAGATAGATAGATAGATAGATAGATATATAGATAGATAGATAGATAGAAAGATAGATAAGAAGGCAGTTTAATTCTAATAAATAGATCTAAATGTAGAATAATTCTCCTAGTTCGTTAAATTACAAATGCAGCCAAGTATAATAGATAGATAGATAAATATAGATAAATAGATAGAAATATAGATAGACAGATAGTTTTCAAACTAAAATACATAAATTTGATTTTACATTTGAATTTAATTGTGCAGAGAGCTACAGTTTCTGAGAAGAACCTAATGAATCAGTGTTGTTTAAAAATGTGTGTCTTAAAATTTTTTTGGTTGTTTTCGATATTGCACTTAGTCGAACCCTTACTTATCCCTTTCTTAACTCTAATGTAGGAGGGGAGGTGCTTAAGTGCTTAAGTTCAAAGAGAATAGAATATATATTAGAGAGAAATTTACTAGAACAAAGTGTAAATCGGCCATTTTGTTGTACTGTTTCCATACTGCAGGTGTACTTCACATATTTGCGCTTTATAACCTTTTGGGCCCTGGAACATCATTTTATAGAAAATCTAAATTATGAAATAGGCTGGTTTCATAATTGACCAATGATCATTTCACATAGACTCTATGCCTTTCAATTTACAAACGATGATTTTCCGTTATAACTACAAATCATATTATGTTTTTTATTCACCTAATTCATTTTATAAAGTTTATTTAACAGCTTTAAAAAATTCGAAATAGAAATGGCTAGTCTAGGGAACATACTGTATTAATGTACTCTACTGCATATAATTTGTGAACATTTACATGATTTGTACACTGACAAACTTCATACCGAGGGATTGTGTAAATTCCGCTCTAATATCAAAATTATTCTCTTTGGTTGGAATGTTCGATAAATTTTTTTGAATATATTCTTTATAAAAGTTTATTATTCTATGAAAAAATGTTGCTAAATTATTTTATTAATATTCTATCAAAGTTTACCGGATCCAATCATAGCTTTTTAGAGATCCTAACAAAAAATACTTTTGTAAAGTCTATTTATAACTTTCGAGGGATCAAACTGTCTAAATTCAGTAATTTTTAATAGGTAAAAGTTTATTTACATAACAAACAAATATTTGTTTAGTCTTTGACTGATATACTTCAATTACACCCCTAACTCATTAAATATTAATTTGTGTTTAGTTTTATCTTTCAATTTATCTTTTCTATCATACAATCAGCTCATCTTACTTATCTATCTATCTATCTATCTATCTATCTATCTAAATCTATCTATCTATCTATCTATCTAACTTTCTATCAATCAATCTATCTATTTATCTATCTATCTGTCTAATTATCTGTCTATCTATCTATCTATCTATCTATCTATCTATCTATCTATACTTCCATCAAGCATTCCAACATATCCCCTTCTGCAAGATCATCATAAAAAAGTTAAAATCTCTAATTTTATTTATCTTTTATTTCTTTGAAATAAATCAAAACGATCAAATTAAACATAGGGGCTTTAAATCAATTTAGCAATATTATAATCTAGAATTAAATCAATTTTCAAAACAGAGATGGAATTTAAAGAATTTGAGCCGCGGTTTAAATTCGCCAAAATCCGCCAAAACCCGGTTTAAATTTAGCGCCGGCTTAAATCTTGAAACATTTGATACAATTTTAAGTGGAACCAACCATATTTAAGCCGCGGCTTAAATTGAAACCGCCGCTCAAATTCTTTAAATTCGGCCACTGGATTGACTTTCAAGTATAGCAACTTCTTGGCCTTTGATATTTACCTTAAGAACTCACTATTTTTTGATAAAGTAATATCTTGTTTAATTGTTAGCCATAAACATTTTATTTTATATAACATGTATTTTAGAAATACAAAGCATTGTTTTCAGCATCGCTTTTTAGGAACTTGTTGGCAAAATTATAATAGATTTTTTTGCGGTAGAGGTTGCAACCTTTAGATAACTTTTTTTAGGGTTTATGTAAAAAAAATACTGTTTAGAAACTAAACTGGTATATTGTATTTATGAAAAATTGTTTAGAAGCGTGCATTCCCCATGCTATGGGAACATTCTTACATTTGGTTACAATGCTTGTTATTGTTCATATTAAACTAAAGTAAATTGCATGTATGATAGAAATCTTTTATGTTTTTATTCATAACTCCTATTATTGGAGAGGTATTGATAAGTACAAAAATGTGTTGAATAAATTAACTTTTATAATACTTGTGCGTAAAATCCAAACTATAGGAGCCACGAGATCACAAAGTTGTACCACTAATGTTGCAAAAATTTGACCTTCTTCATCTGCCTTCAGTTTCCAGTGTTTTCCGTTTAAGAATGTTATGTACGACGTTAACGATCGTTAACGAAGAGAAGAGGAGAGAGGAAACTAGCAAGCAGTTTTAGCTCCCCCATAACCTTTTACCTGTATGTAAGACGACATTCGATAAAATTGCATATTTATCAATGACAATTTTTTTTTGAAAAAAGACCTTATTATAAAGTTTGTCGTTTTGTTAACGATCGTTAACGACAACCCTTCGTTAACAGTCTTTAACATATTTATCTATGACAATTTATTTTTCAAAACTATCGTTTTTTGAAAACAATCATATAAAAAACGCTTATCGTTTTTATAAAAAAGAACGCTTTCAAAAACGATCGTTATTCGTTTTTTAAAAGTTAAAAAAGAAACAAAAAACGATTAACAGCCCTAGTTCCGTCACAGTAAAATATGTTTTTCCGTTCTCCTTTTCTACACCTTGGTAAATAGTTTTTTATACCAAATTAAAAAAAAACGTTTAAATGCATAATTCTAATTTAATCAATGTCAAGGTTAAAAATGCCATTAATAAAGAGAACAAATTGAGGGAAAATTGATTATGCAATTTGCTGTAAACTTTTTTAAGTAAAATAATTATTTTAAGTAATTATATGAAAGTCATATAAATACATAGATGAATATAATAACTTTAATAGTTAAATGGATAAATTAAATGATAAACTGATAAACGTCAAAAAGAAAATTGTTTTTTTTGTTGGATATAAAATTGATTTAAGACAGGTTAACAATTTAATATAACTAGAAAATAGAAAATAATAAATAGATCAAATGAATCTATAAATAATAGTTAAATAGTTAAAATTATTAATAACAAATAAATGTAAGATAAATAGGATAAAATGTACAAACAAATAATAAAAACTTGATAAATAGATAGATAAAATAAAATAGATTTAATATAGAAAGAATGATTAATTAATAGCTAAATAAACTGAATAGATCGTAGATAGATAGATATTTTGATAGATAGACAACTAGATATAGACTGAAAGAATGATAGATAGATAGTTAGCTCTTATATATGATTGAAGAGACTCTTGACAGAATAAGATATTATGTAAATCAAATATAGAATCGATTCATCCATAGATTAATATTACTCTATTCTAGATCTATAGTTCTATTGAACTCTATGATGGTGGTGAAATTCTATATTTCAAATATGCAACATTAAACTATGCAATTTTGAATTGTGAAGAAATTCGGCAGCTCTACAGCGTAAAAAAAGATTTTTTTCCAAATAGCCGAAAGGGAGAGTCAACAAAAGAAGAAAATGGAGACTGAAGGAGGAGAAAAAGATGACAAGAATTATTAAAAAAGGATTTGTTAAAATATT